AATAAAGATGCCCCAAGTTTCTGTGACAGTTCATTTGGCATGCTAACTTGGACAGGCTATGTTGCCCAGTTATTTGGTCAAAAACCAGTCTGACTATTACCACGATGACATAAGCTAGATATTATGAACATTAATGACCAGTAGACTTTGAGTAAAGCAGAGTATTTTTGCAAAACATGGGTGGGTCTCATTCAATCAGTTGAAGACCATCAGAGAGCCAGGGCAGCCTTCCCAGAAAAGTAGCGACAATCCTTCCTCAACTCAACACTGTATTTTGGAAACCCTCGTTCTTTCCTGTCTACTGGCATAGCCTGCAAATCTGAACTGAAGGCTGCAGTATAAACTACTACTAGATTTTTCCAGCCTTCACTACAGACGTTAGATTCTCCAGTCTCTAAGTCATATGAACCAGTTTCTTCAAATAAGTCCTTTACACACCTGTCATAACTACCTTGAAGGCTTATATCGGAAGACCACTGTTTGAAGCCAGACTCTGCAGGAAATTTCCCAAGACCCTTTTTCTACCCACAGCTGATGAGCCACTGTCCACCTAGGCAATGTGGGACGCTGAGATTGAGAGGCTCAGGATTCCAGGCCAGCCTGAGCAGAAGAACCCATGAGACTTCATCTCAGTGGAAAGAAGCAGGACCTAGTGGCACTCGCTTGTGATGCCAGCAACCATGAGAAGCCTGAAACAGATAGATTACATCCAGGCTCATGCTTAGGGAAAGAAGTATCACATTATCTTTACAATAATCAAGAAGGAACAGGAGGCTTGTGCCTATAATCCTAGCGACACAGGAGGCTGAGATAATGAGGATTACAGTTTGAAGCCAGCACAGGCAGACCAGTCCTTGAGACTCTTATTGTTATTGTTGTTGTTGTTTTTAAGTAGTTGTACAAAGAACGTGCCAGTTAATAAAGCAGTTTATGAACACAAGGTGTCTTGATCAATGTCACCCCTTTCAACATTCCCACCCACCCTTTCCCCACTCACTCCTTCCTTCGCTCTTCTTAATTCCACCAGATCTACATTGGATTGTAGATCCAATTGACTGTATTCTTCCTATTCTCCTCTCCATTTGTCTACCCATTTCCTCTTGATCCCGCTCCACCCCTTTCAAATGCTGAACTTTCACTAATTTTCAAGTTACTGAACTTTGCCATTACCTTCCTAGGCAATTATGCTATTTGAGTCCTCCCTTGAATCTACCATATTTCAGTTAATACATTTGTATACACTTACATACCACCCAAGACTCTTAGCTCCAATTAACTAACCAAAAGGTAGAAGTGGTCCTGTGGTTAAAGTGGTAGAGCATTAGACTTGAGCAAAAAAGCTCAAGAACAGTATCTAGGCCCTGAGTTCAAGTCCCAGGACCAGTACATTTAAACACAAAAAAATCAACAACAACAAAAATTCATGGCTAGAAGCATGACTCTAGGTTAAAAGTATCTGTCTAGGAAGGCCAAAACCTTGAGTTGAAATGCTCAGCACTAGTAAAAATTAAATAGTCTCTTAGTCTCTCTCCCCTGTCCCTCCCCCTCTCTCTTTCGCTCTCTTTCGCTCTCTCTCTACAAACACACACACACACACACACACACACACACACATCTCTGCTCTTCCTTCTCCTCCTTCTCCATACCTCCTGCTGCTTCTACGTCTCTAGAGAACATTGACTAATACAGTGGCCAAATTATAGGGAGGAAAAGACAATAATTAAATGGGAAATGTCAGAAAGATCTTCAGGATGGAAAATCTGGTGACCGAATTCAGAGTAAAAACAATCTGTCAGAGTCTGAAAATGTTTTGAATTCCAACAGCATACTCATAACCACACAGACCTGTCACAGACTTGACTATCAAACTTCTTGCTTTTGGGACAAAAGTTCAGCTGGTTGGTGTTCTATTCCTAGTGCATATTCTCTGGGTACCAGATCAAGGCTTTGCCCTTAACTAGCCTTGCCCTTAACAGACCTGTTTTTTCTGGCCAGATATTTAGGGCAGGACCTGGTTTTGATTATTTTTGGTACGAGATTCTCTAGAACACTAGGATTCAATATACAATAATTGATTGGATGGAAACAGCCTTTTGATTTTTAAAATCAGAACCTAATAAAATAATAAAAATTAATTTTTCCTAAAGCAGATACGTGTTTTTGTCATGTTGGCTAAAAACATGATTTTCTTCTCAAAAAAGAAGGAAGAATTGGATTTTTTGTCAAGGAAAATTAAAAGATATTATTAAATGTAACTATGTCAGGTGATCACATAAAAGTCTTTAAAAGTATACTTATATAAATAAAATAAAATTTGAGATATTATTTCTGAAATGTATAAAGATAAAATCTCCTCCTCCTCCTTCTCCTCTTCTATTCATTTTTCTCCTTGTTCTACATTTTTTTTTAATTTTAAGACAGGATCTTGCTAGGTAGCTGAAGTTGGCATGCCCCTCACAATCCTCTTTCAATAGCCTCTCGAGTGCTAGGATTACAGGTATGCAGTCACACTAAGCATTTTTTTAAAAAGCCAGTTGCTCAGAAAATCTAATTCAGGCTGTTTCTCCTTCATATGATTACCTAGAACATAGCAAGCATAAAATTGTTATATCCACTTTTTATCATAGAAATAGTTGTAGAGATGGTGATGTCCAAATAAACTTTTCTTTTTTTATTGTGAAAATACTGTACAGAGGGGTTACAATTACATGGGCAAGATAATGAGTGCATTTCTTATCAAGCATTGTAGCCTCCTCCTTTGTTTCCCCTTCCCATCCCCTCCTCCCCCAACCTCCTACCCAACCTTCCCCCTCCCCACCAAAGTTGAAAAGTTCGTTTTCAACATGACGACTTGTATGTCTCATTGTTGCAATGGGTCCACCTGTATCCCTATTTAAACGATTTGTTTTGTCCCTTCCCCTCCACAAATTATAACATCAATTACAGTGAAAGCAGGGGTTATACCGTGGGGGAGGGTCATACAAAACAACAAAGAAATAATCTTATAAATGTGTTAGAAACAGTCACATGAAAGAAAAAAAAACATTTGAGTACATACCTTAGGGTTCATTTCACCTAACATCAATTTATCTGACCTTTTCTGCTTGCCTCAGACATATACTAGTAATTGCAAATAAGGGAAACCATGGGACCTATGTTTCTTTGGGTCTGGCTTACTTCACTTAATATAATTTTTTCCAAGCCTTTCCATTTCCTAACAAATGGGGCAATGTCATTCTTTCTGATGGAGGCATAGAATTCCAAATAAACTTTTCTATACATTGTTCCTTTCCTTTTATTCTAATACAGGAATTTGAACTCTGGGCCCTGTACTCCCTCTGCTCAGATCTCAGCCTCCTGAGTAGCTAGGATTACAAGTGTGAGCCACTCTACTTGGCATCCACCTTATGTGTCAAAACCTAGGTTTAAGTCTACTTTTTCTAGAACTAGAAAGCAGCATAGTACACTTAAGTGTAAGCTCTATTTAGGGCAAAATGGGAAGCGCATGTGCAACACTGGATTAGTGAACTAAACAAAGAAAACACCCATAGTATTGGGTGTCAGATTATTTTAGATGCTCTTTGTTTACCTATTTTTATCTTCAAAACTCTACAGTTTGCAGATTCTTCTCTTCAATTTATAATTCTCTTAACTGGCACTCATGGCTAAACTTTATTTGTAAGAAACACTCTCAGCATCCTTAAAAATGTCCTCTCCTAATTCCAAATAAATATTTAGAAAAATGAATTCCAACAGCACACTGAATGTCCCTTCCACTCTGGCCTTTCTTTCAATTCTGAATGTTGTCATGATTTCATATAGTGTGAGACTAAAGTCTTAGATTTATCATAGATCTCATGTTCTAAAACTGAACTTGGAAAAAAAAGATAATGTCTATCAGTTACTCAAGTCCCTTCCCTACTTGGTCTTCTCCATTCTGTTTATTCCACATACACTTCTCTTGATTTGAACTAAACTCTGGACCTAGTTCATTTTTTAAATTTTCTTTGGACTTAATTTCAAAAGTTTCTTGAATGTATTCTGCAAAACAGTTGTGGTTTAGATGCTTTCTATAATTTTATTGCTTAAAAATAACACATAAAAAGTAGTAGGTCTATATTTCCCATAATAATAGGGAAAATACTTTTCTTTGTAAGGTGTTGGGTCTCTCTGTGCTATGAGAGGAAACACGCAGAAGAAATATTAGCCTCATTTTCACCCCAGACAGTTCAGTCTGTAAGTCTTGAAAACTACAATTTGTACTGTCAAAATCCATCCAGTCTATGGAATAGTTCTCATTTACCACTGCAACCCACCCACCATGGAAATAATTCAAGTGCGTAAGTTACAGAATTCATGGCACTCAGAGAAGACAGATTTGCAGGTGCACACTTTGCTGAATAAATTCTTAAGGAAAAGCATTCTCAGATGATAATAAACAAGATAAAAACAAAGGAGCAAGGAAAGCTCTAGAAGAATGAATGTAAGCATAGCAAGAGAGAACTTCTATTTCACATTTAGACAAGTCTAGAGGAATGAAGGTTCGAGTTTTCTCTAGGAAAAAAACTCACCTACTTTTCATGTCGAGTTATATATTTATATATACACTTTTGGTGCTTGAAGTTACATGTGAATAAATACATATGGATAAATAGAGGTTCTAATAGTTTGTCATGTGGTATGAACACAATGAAGTTACTAGCTTTCTCTATCTCTCTACGTATTTCTATCTAGCTATACATATAGTATGTTGACTATTTAAACACCATCATGAGTCTGCTTTTGCCCAAAGCTTTAAAATAAATGAATCAATATGCCACACAATCTGACTCCAACTTCAAGCACTTGTATAAGGAATGAGATCATTTTCACCACATTTAATTCAGCATTGATACTTACCTTGCTGGACACAGACCATTGCTGCTTTCTAAATAAAGAGGCCAGCAAGAGAAAAATCTCACACAAATGGCTACATAATAGTAAAACAGTATGATACTTACCTTCATGCATCCTCTCCCATTGAGAAGCTATGAGCTGGCTGTTTTCAGCTGGGCAATGGTAAGAATGTTCTTTGGTTAATAATAAAGGAAAGAAAAGCTCCAGACATCAAGAACTTGGGTTAACCATTGACATAGATTTGTTCCTATAATTCCACTTGGGAATCTGCATAGGTAGCCCTTGGCATTGTACAACCCAGGTGATAGCTAGTCAGCTGAGACAGAGATTACCTCACTCCCTCTGTACCTCTGAAGGTCACTCAAATATACCCTGACCAAGTTTTCCCTTAGTCAGGCATACAAGGAGGAAGAATACCTGAGCCAAAGATATGCTCAACAAGGCCAGTAAATGACTCAAATTTACAAACAGGTTTGCTGAGAACTAACCTATGAAAACTCAGGCCAGTTTCCAGATTTCATCTGAATCATGCAAAAAAAAAAATCCTTTCCACCAGCACATTGTCCATATCCAGGCAGGGAAGGGCTGAGATTGCATATGACAATGCAAATGGAGACAGGATAATTGGAATCAAGTAATTGAACACTCATTTCTTCCTTTACCCTATGATCCTTGAAAAATTATTCATCCCAGCAGTTTAAACTCTAGAAAAGAAAGGTAGGAGCTAAACTGTCTTCTTACCTTAGGAACCAGAGCAAGAGATTGAGATGGTAAATAAAATTCATCCCGTGATCCAGTCCTCAGTGTGCAGTCTTTCAGTTGCTCTACCTGGCAGTGGGTTCCTAATGCTAATGGGGTTATATGAAATATGGAGGGGGTCATGTGGCATTGAGTGTTGAGAGAAAGAGGTAGATTTAAAACGCTAGCATCAGGATTATGGTCCAGGTAATATAAAAGTAGTCATGAGGAACTAAAGAAATATCAGTTGTGTCTAGGAAACCTTAAAGGAATAGCTTGGTGGCTGGGTATGAGTGCTTTTCTTCTTTGTTTCAAGGAGCATTGGTACACAGACGACCTGAGAGACTACCATGCATGGTGAGCTCTCCACGTTTAAGGGTCTTGGCTAGGTGGTGGTTCTCGTTGCTGTTTGCATTCATTTTGTTTATTTTTGAGCTAGAGATTAAGTCTAGGGCCTCTGCCAACTTGAGCTCTATAAGCTCTACCACTTGAGCCATACTGCAACCCCATTTGGGATGTCATTGTTGCTTTGCTCCATATTGCTTTTACTGTACTGAGTTATGAACTCCAAGCTTTATGGCTTGCTAGGCAGGTGCTCTACCACTTGAGCCACATCTCCAAGCCCGATCCTCTCTTTTTATTTTTGGCTCTTCTTATTTTCAGGTAGAGTCTCATGCTTTCGCTCGAAGCAAACCTCAGGCCATGATCCTCCTACTGATGGCCTCCTGCGTACCTGGGACCACACGCCATTCATTGATTGAGCAGGCTTTCCTAACTTTTTTTACCTGGATTAGCTTTATACTGTTGTCTTCACATTCTCTACCTCCTGAGTTTACAGGCAAGAGCCACCACACTTGGTCACTTGGGGTGATTGGGCTTTTACTTTTATTTTCCCAAACCCAAACACTTGGGAAAGGAAGATTGTATTACAGAGTCATCACAGCCACCTATTAGCTGTGTGATTTCTGTATCCCAGTTTCCTCACCTTTAAAATGAGGGCCCCATTCATGACCATTTGCCACGGCAGCAACACCAACCTCAGGGAGATGATCAGTACTTTAGGCTGTGAGCTTCATAGAGGTTGTGACCTTCAAATGAGGACACAGCACCTTGCAACCTGTTATACAGGGCCTGCAGAAGAATGCAAACCTTCCAGCAGACTTCACTTTTCAGTCACCCATAAACGTCAGAGAAGCAGTGGACCTAGAAGTTACCTTCTGTGCAAAGAAACTCAAAGGCCAAATAAACACCTACATTTTCTTTCTTACTCACTGAGGTGGTTTTCATGTGACATGTCTGTAAACTCATCCAGGTAGATTGTTTTTTTTTTTTAGTAAGAATAAGCACTCTCTTTATGCATGCTCCATCTGAAAGGACTTTTAAGAGAGATCCACTTGATTTTCTCTGTTCTGAGGTGAATTGTAGGAGAGGTAACTCAGAGTGAGTGTCTGGGTTGGTCTGAGAAAATGAAACACCTGAAGGGATCCCGGGGAAAATTGGAAGGTTTCCCAATTTTAACCGAGTAGCATGCCTTCATTCCTTTGCTTGAAATAAATTCTGGGACAACTGGACATACTCATACTCACACATAAGCAAAAACAAAACACACAAACAAAAACATCCCCACCACTTGAAAAGGCAGAAAAAAAGGGCACCAAGTTTGACTGTTTTGACACACTGTCTCTTCGAGCTACCTTCCCTTTATTGAAGCTTCTCTTTGGAGATCCATTTGATCCTCTGAGAACCTGGATCAAACCAAATGCATATTTGTTTTTTAAGATTGTACCATTACAAGATGGCGAAAGAATTCATAACTTGAATGGAAAAACTTGACATGAAAGTTTTTGTGTCAATCATGTGTCCCTTTTGGCTCTGTGATTTCAGGACTGGTCTGAGAAGAGGTTAAACTAGGAGAGGATGACGTCTCACGAAGTCTTCTAACTCTGCAATTATCTAGCTATAACTTGCCTCTGGTTTTTGTAATAACTATGACCCAAGGATGGTTTTTAGATTTTTTTTTTTGAAGACCGAGGAAAAAAAATGTAAAAAAGAGGAATCATCTGTGATGTGTGGAATTTATATGAAATTCAGGTGCCCATCAATCAAGTTTGTGTGAACACAGCTAAGCCCATTCACTTGCATACTGTAATGGCTTCCATGTTACAATGACAGAATTTAGGAAAACTCAATGTCTCACTAGACATGTAATGTTAGTATTGTTAGTATCATAGTATCTCTTTAGTGGTTGGCCCCTTACAGAATAACTTTAGCCAATCCTCAATCTGGTGAAACCATAGAATTCACTTCTCTCCAATGGCAAATTCCTTCTTTTCTGATGAATGACCTAGTCTACAGCCATACCACCCTGAATGCACCCGATCTCATCTGATGAGTGACCTTCTTCATATGGTTTGAGTCAAAGCCAACTGTTGTTTCTTTGACTGAAAATTCCATTGCTCTAGTGAAGATCACAGGCCACAAAGGTCTATGTGTTCAAGACTGGACTGTTAGCCCCTGGTGTAACTGGATTGGATCTTCAAGAAGTGGAACCACTTTGGAGCAAAGTTAGGTCACCAAGATGAGCCTTGAAGGTCATTCAATCCTCTTCTTTTCCCGTTTACTTTCTAGTTGCCATGAGATGAATAGGTTTGCTCCACGATGCTTCCTGCCCATCTCAGCATCCCTGCCCTCCTCAACAAACAAACAAACAAACAACTGAGCCAACATACCATACACCAAAACCTGTGAAGCCATGAGCAAAAATTAATCTTTTCTTCCATTTAGGCCTTTAAAGTCAATTTATTTCAGGTTTCTGAAATAGCCACAGAAAGTTAACACACCTATCTTTACTCTTGGGTTTTTGATTTGTTTTTAGTTAGCTCTTTCTGCGCCTCCACTAAGCATCAATTAGGTATTGGTTAACAAAAAATAATTTTTAAGGCACAATTTCTTTTCATCTGTATCTTAACACTTCTGTATCTTAACACTTCTTTGCCATACATACTTCTTACCTCCTTCACTAAATCTTTTACATTTAATAAGCAGGAACTGGCTGACTTGTTAACTGCCTTCGGATCCAGCAAGCTGTCAGGGCAAAAGGTAGGCAATAATAGATTCTAAGGACTGGATGCTTTTTTGAATTAATCAAGTATATCATATCTAGGGGCAGAAACATTGATTAGCTTACCCACCTTGACTCTCTTCTCTTCAACTGGGTATCTTGTGAGTCTCCAGATCATTCCTCGTCCACCTCTCCCACCCGGTCAGAGGTTCACAATCCCCACTTCAGAGATCCACCCTGCCAACATCACAAGGATTTGGTCATGCTTAGATGGCACTCAACTCCATACCTCAGCTCTTGAAATTTCCCTTTGAGTGTCTCATTCCCACTAGAAAGGATTTCTGTGTTTCGTTTTGTTCTAAGCTCTCTTTGAAATAGATGGTAAGAGGCAGAGAGGCAAGGGAAAAAAGAAGAAGAAAAAGAAAAAAGCCAATTTTAACATTTTTTTTTCTTAAAGAACAATCTGATTCGGTATTTCCCCATGATTATGCATAGAACTTCAACAATGATTCAAAAATCATAACATTTGAAATAGCCTGGTTTCACATAGCCTAGGACATAGATAAAATAGCCTGATTAATATTAAGACAAAGAGCTGGGGTACCATCTGAGCCCCAGTGGCTCATGACTATAATCTTGATTATCCAGGAGGCTGAGATCTGAAGAGTACAGTTCTAAGCCAGCCCCAGCAGAAAAGTCCATGAGACTCTTACCTCCAATAAATTTCCAGAACTATCAGAAGTAGAGCTGTGGCTCAAGTGGTAGAGTGTAAATCTTGAGCAAAAAGAATCTCAGGGATAGCACCTAGGCACTAAGTTCAATCCCTAGGACAGGCAAAAAAGAAGAAAACACATTGCCATATCTGCCTGGTAGATGGGGAAGAAAAAAAGGATATCTTAAAAAAAAATTCTCTCCCAGGTATTTAAAGTCATATATGTGTATATGTTCATTGTGGACAACATGAGTTAAGAGTTCAAAGAAAGTAATAAAAATCACTCTCTTCAATTTCCTTCAGCACAATTTTTCTCCATCTTTTTCTTAGTTGTTTTAGCAAAAAGAAAGAGAGAAGTTCAATAATATTTACATGTTTGAATCTCGCATGGGAGTTCTAATTGTGCTTTCGAGAACTGTTGAAGCAAGATACTTCCCTGCATGGAAGAGTGAGTCAGGGAGAATTTTGGAGCCAACATGTTCGTTTTCTGGAACTCCTAGTTATGCTGTGTGAGCTGATGGCTTACACTACATTATGAGGATTAACTGAAACGCTGCCCTGGATGAATTTTATAAAGTATCAAACATGCATCCAGTATTTAAAGGAGATGGCCAAATATCAGGTATATTTTCTTCCTCCTGAAAAGGTACTTGTAAATTG